ACTACGTTTCTGGTATCCGGATTTTATCTTGTCGGGATTTTATGTTGTCGGTATTTTATCTTGTCGAGATTATGTACTTCGGGATTAGTACTGTCGAGATTTGTGCTGTCAGGATTTTGGATGTCGGGATTTTGTGGTAGATCCGTGTGGTATATATTAGATTAGAAATTTGTATATAAGAGGTAAAAAAAAAATCAATTGAATCGATTAATATGTAATTACGTAGAATATTATTATATACTATTATTATATTAGTACCCTAGCCATGGCGAAGAAAAATGTTCGAATCACGTGTTGTAGATCAGATCTGGCGAATTTCTATTGGACGGTTGTTAGGTGATTCAACGTGACTGATCAACCAGTTATGTGCAGTTTGGTCATACGTTAACTTTGACAAATTTTTTCGCACGGTAATATAGCAATACTGTGGTAAAGTAACAGAGTATAGCATAATAATTTTCTCAAGCAATTTTTAAATTGTTTAAAGTTATTCGAAGGTTACTTAAGAGACCATTAATAAGAACGATTATGACTTCCGGACTTTTTTTTTTAAATTCAAATACTTGGATTTTTTACTTTTAATTCGAATATTTAAATTTTATTCTTTTATTAAAATTTTAGAATTTTACTACAAATATATATAAACCTGAGTCAAGAACTTTATTATTAGCATAACCAAAAGGCGAGTTTTCCATTTTTTGGTTCCCATGTACTTTGCTGTTTGCAAGATTGTAATACTACTTCACATTTATCAATTTCCTTTAAAAAAGGCGTCACCAGGTTATTAAAATTATTTATAAAATTATTGTCGCAGCTGATGCTGAAAACGGCTGATGCTGAAATTCGGATCTATTTTGATATGAATTTTTTAAAAATTTTTGGGGTGTTTTTTCCCCGCTTTTTTTTTATAGTTGAGTTAGTGTTTAGGGTTAGACTTGATAATTAACAAGTATATGTGGATTTTAGCAGAGCTTATATTTTTAAATCGAGACCCCAAATTTCAGCTTCAGCCGTTTTCAGCATCAGCTGCGACAATTATTGTTATCTATTTCTCACTCATATAGAGCTAATGCGATATCAATTTTTTTTTTGTATTGAGCAAGTATTTCTTATCTTTCATCCAAGGTGTTAGATGTGTTACAATTCACAATTTCTAATGTATTTTGCAAATAATTTAAAATAGAGCTATCCTTGTTAGAAGAATTATCATCAGCTATTGTCATTTTAGGCCTAGTCCAAGGATTATTTATCAGTGTAATAGCTGGTGCATTGTCACCATTAAAAGTAAGTAGTGGATAATCATGGCGTCATTCTGTCTTTGAAAAAATAGAAAAAAATTGTTCATTTATTTCCATTTTTTATTAATTAAATGCTTGTATATAAGATAGCAACTGTGTAAATAGGATGGGCAGGAACATATCCAGCTATCTATATTGATATGGTATCTCTTATCTATACCATCTTGAATAATTGCATTTGCAGCTTTAGTCCATTCCATTTGAATTCGTATCACCATGCTGGAAAAGTTCTATTTCTATTATACTAGGCCAGTTTTATTTAAAGTCAGGTACAAGTTGTTCTACTATTATTTGGGTAAGTCGATCTACACGTGGTCTGTTGTAGTTATATTTATAGTTATACTTGAAAACTCACCAATGGCTCTCTGTAATCATAGTGGTACATGCAAATGGAATAGCCAATGGATATAAAGAATGTGCGAATAGTTTCCAGTCTTTTGCATTGTGCCAGTTGGTCCACAGATAGCACTATAATTTGGCAAGTTTATGTGAATAGCAAAATTGATATACTTCATGAACATATAAATAGTATATTTCTTTTGCAGTCATAAATGAGTTCTTAAAGACTGAAATAAGTGGGTGCATATTGGCATGTCTTTTAACCATTTCTAGAAGTTCTCTAATTAGGTTATCTGGACAAAAAGAACCTGCATTATTTTGAATCCATGATGAGTCTATGAATTCAAACATATTTTGAACCTCTAATGCTTTAGATATTGAGTATACACTTGATTTAGATTTTTTATTTTTTATTTTTTTGTCAATAGCATTCTCAAGATGCCAATAACAAAGCTGAATATTGGCTATCCACGACCAAGCTTCACTAATTGCTGCAATTTCTCCTGCATCTTTGTTTGTTAAGACAAATACTGGTTGTAGTCCTTCTTGGCAGAAACTATTAAAAAATAGTTGTAATGCTTCAACTTGTGTCTTAACAGTATTAGCTGAGTCATGCATTGCCTCTTCAGTAGAATCAGATGTAGAAAGATACAGATATGCTATTGGCATACCATATCTTCTACAATTTACATTAACTGCAAAAAGTTCAAACCGCCTTTAATTGGTTTTGAATGTAGAATCAGTTATAATTTCAGTAATATTGTTGGTATCAATATGTTTGAACAGCGGCGTTAAAAATCCCAAAAATCATACAAAGTTATTTTCTAAATAGGTAATAACTTTAAATCCTTTGTTTATAAACTCAAATTTTTCAAAGTATAGTTTGGCTGATAGAAGCTGGTTTTTCTGATTCATTAAATAAGTATTTTTGTTATATACTGTTATCCAGTAATATGTTTGTTCTAATGTATGAATTTTTGAATTAATCAAATTGTTTTTATATAGGCAATGATATATTTCTGTATTTTGTAAATTTAATGCTATATTGTTGTATCCACTCTCTAGCCTTTATTGGAAATTTAATTTGCTGATAAGTTGGTTTTATATATGCAATTTTATGTTCTCCTTTAACAGAAGCATACTGTTGTTTTAGAATTATGATAAGTTTAATATTTCCTATACAGTCAAATCTTTCTATAGGTGTATGGGCTTCACTTCATCTCTTAAGTAGCTGGTCATTAGGTCGTTGCCAAGCTCTATCATTTTGCATTGTGCAACTAAGATATATAGTAGCAAATCCTAAAAATACTTTTTTTTTATATTGAGATATACTTTGTGTATTTCCTAATAATACTCAGAACCGGACTCAAGTGGAACAATAAGTATCTTTGCAAATTGGCAGAATTTTTTTTCAATTGCTTTCAAGTCAGATACATCAGTTAAATTTTGTTGATCTAGAGAGGCTATAATAAGGTCTTGTTCCAATTCGATTTCAAAAGCAAAATGTGTAGATTTATTAGATATTTTAAATTCTTCAAATAGCTTACTTATAAGTTCATATACTTCATTTAAATCATAATGAAGTATATTATCATCATTATTTTGTACATTATAGGGACTTTCATTAATTGTCATATCTAAAAGCTCTTCGCTAAAACTGTTATTTTCTAAAGGCAATTCAAGATTATTAGCATCATTTGAAGTATTACTACTAAAAGATAAGTTTATGTCTTTATTTTTTTTAATATATCACTTTTTTTCTGATGCTTATTTTTTAAATTTATAGAGCATTGGTTGCAAGTAGCACATTTATATAGCTTGTTATTACTGAAAATTTGGCAAAACTCTGCTGTTTCTTTTGTTTTGTAGCAACTATTACATTTCTTTTTAGTCACACTTTGGATAGGAAAATCTGGTAAATAATTGTAGTTTTATAAATATTTTTTGTTATATATTTTAATAGTAGATCAATTTGAATAAATATAAACTTAAATAAACTAATATATTATAATGTCATAAATATTTCGCTTTAGTTTTTATTAATTATAGAATCAATAGGTTTATCTTCTGATGAATTACTTATATTCATTTTATCTTGTATCGATTTGAGACTTTTAAAGTGAGTAAATTGAAATTTGAGTTACTATCTTAAAGATAAATCTTGTTTTTTGCCAAATACTTAATAATAAATATTATTTAATGAATAATAATTAAGGTATAAAATTCGTGATATAAAATTCGCAAGTTCTATCATTTTGATACTGGTTTTATTTTTGAAAAATAACTAAATTTTTGGTAAAATTTTTTAGATATTAATAAATCTTTTAATTTTTTATTGATTTTTAGATTCTTATATATCTGTTATTCAATTAAAAAAATAAATTATCTAATTTATTTTTCTATTTTTAAATTAGCTTCACTTTTTAATATTTACTATTTACTTTTTCAAGTGAAACTTTTGAGATTTACATTTTTTTTTACTTTTATTGTTAATATTTGTACAAACTTATAATATCTCTAATAAATATTATTAAATATAATTTGCTATTCTTCAAAACCACATTAAACTTATAAGATATTGAATACCAAACATTGTAAGTTTTTATTCTTATTTTTATATTTTTGTGTTTGCTTTTTTGTATTTATTCCTTAAACCGTTTTGCAGGCAAATTTTCCTGCAAATTTTTAATCAAAATTGGTTTTGCTAAAACAAGTTACATAAATAACTATATCAATTTTGGTAATATTAATACTAGGCATACTGCTTATATAGAGCTTTTAGCTAATACTACTTTTAACCATTTTGAATAATGTCTTGCTTTTATTTTCTCTTTAGTTTTGTAAAATAGCCTCCTGCAAAAGCCAAGCTTATACTTTACTCGAAATGCTTCTAGATGTGCTATTTATTGAAATTCTACTGCTTTAAAATTTCAATATCTGACAAATTCCAAACAGCATATCCATAACTTGATTAGATCATTTAAATACATGACTTTAACAGGGTAATCATTAAATAAATTTTTGCAAGCAAAATGTGCTTGGATCAGCTTATAGTTTAAGGATAACACAAATGCTATAATATCTCCAGAAAATTGCAATTTGCCATCTTTGAAACTATGAGTTTTTATTTTTATTTAAAACTACAGATAAGTTCCTTTTATTTCTTATTTTATTTATTGTAATTTATAATTGTAATACTGCAATCTATTCACAAGTTTAAAATTAAATCAAGATTTATTATAACTTTTTAAAATTTTAGCTATTTCACTTTACTTTGTAGTCATAGCAATGGGTATATTCGTGCATATTTTATTTTTATAAATGTAATTGTGTTAATACTATATACTTTAAAACTAAATCAAAATTTATTACAACTTTTCTAAATTTATTATAGATGTCTTATTTTTGTGAATATCGCTACTATGAGCATATTCATGCATGTTTTAATTGAATTTTTTTAACAATCGCATTTCTTTAATTATGGATAGTTTTGATTGGCAAGATTTGTATAACTCAATATAACTTAAATTGGATTTATACTTAATATCAAAGCTAAATATTGATATACAATATCCAATTATATTATTATTTTAGCATTAGAAAACTTATCATTATAAGGTATAATTAATTTATAATAAATTAACTTTATAATAATACGTATAAAAAAAATAAAATAAAAATAAAAATAAAAATACTAATATAAAACAAACAAACTACTGAATTTATTATGTACTCAATTTGTGCTAATAAAATAGTGGTTAATTATATTAAATATTCTGATTAAACCGGTTATTCAAGAATTTTTGAGTGTTTTATTATACCATAAATCTAATACTAAAAAAATTTTTTAAAATTGAAATTGATCAATATTTTTTATTTGCACAAACTCAATTTGATTAGTTGGCTAGGTATTACCGCAACATGCATTGATTATCCAATAAAAATTCACCAGATCTGATGACAACATATGATTCAAACATTTTTCTTCACCATGGTTAGGGTACTATTATTATATATTAGG